TGGAGACTATAGGTAGGGTTTAGGTCATGGGAGCCGGACTAACTGGCAATATATCATCCGACGAAAGTATGCCTTAGCAACTATCCCACTCATTAGAAGGCCACTGCTTTAGGGTTTTAGGTTTAGCGCGTGTTTAGTTGAGGGTTCACGGGCTTCGTATTTTAATGTTTAGGGCTTCGGGATGTGATTTTGGGGCTCAGGAGTTTAATGGCTCGATGATTGGGCTCAGGGTGTTTAGCAGTTCGTCTCGGGGGGGGGGGGGGGGGGGNNCGGGTTAGGACATTTTGAGGTAAAACCCTCGAATGTAAACCCTGAGCGGGGATGGTTTACTGGTAAATTCTTAAGCCCCCGTCAGCCGACTGTGAACCAAGCACGGTGAGCTATAATAAGAAGGATTCATCCACTGTTTCCACAATACAGCAGCTTGAAACGGATATCCTCAAGACAACCCTAGACGACGCTTCCATACCATACCATTCTGTACCGGACCGTACCCGACCTTAGCATAGCATAGGAAACATGGCATAGCCTAGTATAGCATAGCATAGCATAACCTACCGTACCGTACTGCACCAGAACTAGGCGAAAACCATACTGTACTCCATTCTGCTAGACCAGACCAGACTAGGCTATAGTAAGAGAATGCTGAACGCTGACTCCCACCTTTTCACGGCTTCGGGATCTTCGGCTTCGGTGAGTTGGGGCCTAAGGACTCTAGGAGGGACCCCTANNCCCTTAATCCCATGACCTTAAATAACTATTGTATAGTCCTTATATACCCCTTTTATAGCCAGGTAGTTTTCATATTAACCCCAATAACCTACCCTATTAAGGGTCCCTCCTAAAGCCCTTAGATGGGGCATTCTTCCCAGGACCGCAGTCGACCGGCAGTGTGAAGAGCAGATCCGTGGCATCGTGAAGCTTCACTTCCCGTCACATGCCTTCCTGGGCGAGGACCGGTCTGAGGGAGTCGGGATCGATGATTTAGGGTTTAGGGTTTAGGGGTTTAGGGTTTAGGGTTTAGGGATTTAGGCAGGGGGCTTGGAATTAGGGATTGGGACCGTTTCACCCTCCGCTGGTAACCCTGAGACATTGAACTTGCAGCATAAGCTTGAGAGTGGAATCATCTTTCAATCGATTCGGTGCGTGAGAGTTCGTTCGGCCTAGTAAGTGTAGACTAGAAGTATATGTTCGATTTGCAAGTAGGATAGTTAGATGCAGATCTCGGACAGTTTTCTCAATTCTCAAGACACATCACGGTGCAAAGTAGCTTATCCTATAAGCTACTATGTCAATCAAACCCTAAACCCTAAACCCTATGTCAATCAAACAAGCCCCTGCACCCTGCTAAACCTTAGAGAACTCGCGCTTCCCTAAGTGCTAAGTCCCCATCTTCCCCCTAAGCCCTAAGCCCCTATGTGATCCTTTGTAGCATCAAGGGACCCTTAAATAAGATTACTAACATAACTCCTTAGGTTGCTTTATTGTAGTTATAACCAGGTATACTTTGTTATACTCTGAAGGAGCCCAAGACCTCACTCTAATTATTACGGTCCATACATAAGGAGTCTGCCGGGGCAGACCTGGATGCCATATTGGGCTCCGATGGAATCTTGACACGTGAAGTCGCCAAAACCTCTTCTCGGCGGATTGATGGGGCTTACTGTAAGGTTTGGGGTTTAGGATTTCAAATGGTGGGTTTGAGGAATTACGGTATTGGGTTTTTAGGGACTGGGGTTTAGGGTTTTGGGGTTTTGGGGTTTGGGATTTCGGAGTGTGGGATGTCGAAAGTGTGACAGTGGGATTTAGGGTTGCAGGTTTAGGGGGGGTTGTGTTCACTTCTGAGTTGCAGCCATAGTGTTTGGGGTTGAAGGGCTTTCGGTTGTCCACGTTTTGAGCCACTCAAGGTGCATGCCTCAAGCTGGTGTTCTTGTCTAGGCAAATCCCCGCATCTGGTGGGTAAGAACTCAGGTTTACGTTTGAGTTAGGATGCCATAGGGTTCAGGGTTGAGCATACAGAGTTTTTGGATTAGGATGTTTGGGGGTTTATTACTCGAGGTGCAGAGTTTAGGAAGTACCGTTTTGGGTTTAGGATTCAAGATTTAGGGTTAGTTTTTGAAGTTCAGGATTATTCAGTGGAGAGAGGCCAGTGCACAAATAAACTTCGGAACTTAGGTTCCGAGCCGATAAGGGGGTTCCTCGAGTCTTCGAAGCAGCAAAAGATGATGCCCAGAGAATCTAGCATTAGGATTCCTTCGTATGTACAGGCATTGATGTACGTATGCAGATGTTCAGGCATGCACGCAGGCCTGTATGTAGGTATCATGTATGTATGTATGTATGTATGTATGTATGTATGTATGTATGTATGTATGTATGTAATTATGTATGTATGTATGTATGCATGTATTTATGTATGTATATATGTATGCATGCATGCAGGCATGCAGGCATGCAGGCATGCATGCTGTAATGTAATGTAATGTAATGTAATGTAATGTAATGTAATGTAATGTAATGTAATGTAATGTAATGTAATGTAGTGTAATGTAATGTAATGTAGTGTAGTGTAGTGTAGTGTAATGTAATGTAATGTAATGTAATGTAATGTAATGTAATGTAATTAAATGTAA